GGAGTCCTCTTCTACTCCTCCATACCAGGGGGCAGAAAATTTACATGTTATACAGGCTGTACACTCACTACTTTACATTGTAGCAAAGTGTCATTTCTTCAGTGTTGTCACATGAAAAGATAGAATAAAATATTTACAAATATGTGAGGGGTGGACTCACTTCTGGGAGATACTGTATATATACAGTTGTGTTCAATATAATAGCAGTCAGACATCACTAACCGGATCAATCACTGTTTTTGGTAGAAATGATATTTCTACATGGCAAATAATTTACTAGCAGGTGTAGTAGAGTAATAGAAATCCAACAGACCTAACAGTCATGACATGCATGCTGCTGATTCTGTGTCATTGAATCACTCATTGAAAGGGGCATGTTCAAAATAATAGCAGCGTGGAGTTCTATTAGTGAGGTCATTCATTCTTTGAAAAACAGGTGGCAATTATTGCCCTTATTTAAGGAAGGAAGGCAGCAAATGGTCGTTCCAGACATTGTTCAGAAGAACAGCGTACCTTGATTAAAAAGTTGATTGGAGAGGGTAAAAAACATATAAAGAAGTGCAGAAAATGACAGGCGGCTCAGCTAAAATGATCGCAAATGCTTTAAAATGGCAATCAAAACCTGAAAGACGTGGAAGAAAGCGAAAAACTACCATTCGAATGGATAGAAGAATAGCCAAAATGGCACGGACTCAGCCAACAATCAGCTCCAGGAAGATGAAAGAAGGTGTGACGTTCCCTGTGAGGACTGTTACAATTAGAAGACGCCTATGTGAAGCCAAGCTATCTGCAGGAAGCCCCCGCAAAGTCCCACTGTTGGAAAAAAGACGTGCTGAAGAGGTTACAATTTGCCAAAGAGCACATTGACTGGCCTAAAGAGAAATGGCGCAACATTTTGTGGACTGATGAAAGTAAGATCGTTCTTTTTGGGTCTAGTGGGCGGAGACAGTTTGTCAGACGACCCCCAAACACTGAATTCAAGCCACAGTACACTGTGAAGACTGTGAAGCATGGTGGTGCAAGCATCATGATATGGGGATGTTTCTCATACTACGGTGTTGGGCCTATTTATCGCATACCAGGGATCATGGATCAGTTTGAATACATCAGAATACTTGAAGAGGTCATGCTGCCTTATGCTGAAGAGGAAATGCCCTTGAAATGGGTGTTCCAACAAGACAACGACCCCAAACACACCAGTAAACGTGCAACATCTTGGTTCCAGACCAACAAGATCGACGTTATAGAGTGGCCAGCCCAATCCCCGGATCTTAATCCAATAGAAAACTTGTGGGGTGACATCAAAAATGCAGTTTCTGAGGCAAAACCAAGAAATAGAGAACTGTGGAATGTCATCCAATCATCCTGGGCTGGAATACCTGATCACAGGGGCCAGAAGTTGGGTGACTCCATGCAACACAGATGTACAGCAGTTCTCAGAAACAGTGCGACTACAACCAAATATTCATGAAGTCATTCAAAGGAAAGCAAAATCTTCAAACATTTTTCAGTTTATATAGTGAATGTTTGAGTTTGTAAAGAAGAATACAAACACTGCGATTTTTTTGAACCGTCTAATATTCACTTTTCTTCAATTTTTTTTAGAGGAACAACACAAATTTGATCTATTTTTCTTCATGTTTTGATTTGGAATAGAATGTGTCGTGTTCCCAATGCATTTGTGTGGATGGAAATAAAAGCTATTAGAAGGATTTTGAGCTTTATTCACTTTTTTCAACACACTGCTATTATTTTGAACACAACTGTGTGTGTATGTGTATGTGTATATATATACATACATACATACATACATACATACATATACACACACATACAGTATATATCAGTGAAAGCTTTAAAGAGACAATTGGGTTGATACAAAATATTCCATTTACAAGTTGAATACTCGTTCTTAAGGGGTATCACTAGCCTTTGTTTTTATTTATTTTTTTTTTCTTTTAGCTCTATATAAAGGGAAAAGTTAGAACCTCCGTCAGATGTTTATCGACATGCCCGTTGGGGAAATTCACAACCTCCACTTGGCCTGGTGAGCATTGTCACCGCCATGAAAGTGATGGAAAATCCAGGGTTTCCAAGGTCTGTCTCTGGAACAGAATATACGGGGAGGTCTTCCAGTGAAGACACAAGTTTTATTTTCTTCTAGTGAAAAGACTGTAGTGTCTTTGTAGTGTGAAGAGAAATATCTCCAACAGGACCCAGACAGCAGAACAAAAACTGGCAAATATTTTTACCTTTTCTCACTGTATCCAAAACTAAACATAAAAGGTTTGACCTTACCCTTTAATTGTTATGGTTCCCCCAAACTTAAAGACGTTTATATTTCCCCCTTTTTTTTAGCATTCCTTTGTCGGAAGTTGACTAGCTGATTCAGGGATCTAGAGGTCACCTGATGTCCAATAGATGCTGCATTCAAAGTTGACTGACTCCAAACATCCCACTCCCAGATTTTAAATGTGCCCTTCCTTTTTCACTAGGTGATCCATAAAAAACATACTCACATGCATAGTGGTGTTCTGTAGAACCTGGATGTTCCACTTCTACTCTGTGGGTACTGTGACATCATTGGGAGTTAGTGGTCTCTTCCCGTTTCTTGTAGCTGGCCCCCTGATGATGTGCATGCGCTACGGTGCATCATGAGGGGGGCAGCTGCAAGTACTACGAAAAGTCAGACATTCCCACATTGGCGCACAGCAGCACATGTGCAGTAGAATACACCAAGGTCTCCTGGTGTGTGACTTGGAATCCTAGGAGGCTATGGCAAGCGAAACGTCATTCTCACCAAGGTGAGAATCCAGGAAGTGTGGGGAGGGTTCCCCAAAATAAGGTAACGCAAAAAAAAAAAACAGGATGGGGGGAGATGACGGAAAAGACGAAGGTCCTTTTTAGGTCAGGTAACGGTTCTCCAGCTTCAAGTAACTTCTTCTTATACTTAGTAAGGAGAGCAGACTCAACTGGTGGTGCAGTGGCGTCCATGAACGAGACAGGGACACTTGACAACAGTCCAGGTGTCAGGGCTCCCGGTAAGACCAGAGATGTGTGAACTGACAGGGAAACACAGGCTCAAGTATGGTGTAACAATATAATTTATTAAAGGTTATACACAAATATAAACGCACAATATAACAAAATCAAACCTTCAACTGATAACGGAATGTACACAGACAAGAGCAGTCAGGGCTGGTGAGGTGGAGTGGTCAGGCAGGCCGGGTCAGGAACCATCGGGCAGACAAGACACAAAGGAGCAGGCAGAGCGTAGTCAGACGGGCCGGGTCAGGAACAATCAGGCAGACAAGGTACCAAAGGAGCAGGCTGGAGAGTGGTCAGGAATAGCTGGGGTCAGGACAGGCGGAGTTCATTCAGAGTCAGGATCAAAGCAGAGTCAGGATCAAAGCAGAATCAGGAATCAGGCAGGAAGCAGACAGGATGCAGGTACAGGGGCTCATGGGAAACATACACCAAGGCACTGACTGCAGGTCTGGCCATTCCTTAAATACACCTCCTGCAATCAGCCTCAGGTGATGGCTGACTGCAGGAGTGAGCTTCTTGTTGCTGAGAGCACCCGCTGGCCAGCCCTGGTACTGCAGCCCACACGGCAGATGAGTCCCACCACAAATGGTGAGTCCATTCCTGACACCAGGTAAGTTTGTTCTGCACTTTAATTCTCAAAGGCAGTAAACAAACACCGTTTCAGTGCAGGAGGGATTTGTACAGCAGGTCCATAGCATAAACAGAGGTGCTCAACCTTTTGAAGCACAAGGGCCACTTTAGTGATTTGATAACCGGTCGTGGGTCATTTGAATAGCATAATGAACATTTTCAAAAAGCTCACCAAACCTGCAGGATATAATAGAGGCCTACGGCTCAGTGCAGCTAACCTGCAGGTGCTCTGTGCTGCTCCGGTGGTCAGTGTAAAAGCAGCCTAATAGTTGTTAACCCTTTTATAGGTGCTAATATGCTCATTGCAAAAGCACAGTATACAGTATATGTTGTATAATACACTGATGTTTTTTTCCCTCTTCCAGCTTCTGCTGGCATCGCTCTCCAGGCTGCTAGAAAAGTCCCAGGCGCAGTGCACTTGATATCACTCTGCCTGGGACAGGAGCTGGCTTATGCAGCTCCTACTCCCTCCACGGCTGTCTGCTTCCTCTGCTGCCAGCTCCGGCTCTATGCACTCTGATGCTCTGGGATGTTGGGTCGGCAAGCCCAAATCATGATCAATGAGTTGCTGGCCCAAGGCATGAGCGTCCCTGATTTGAGGTCCATGGCCACACAAGAAGGCTCCGAGGGCCACAGGTTGAGCACCCCTGGCATAAAACAAAATATCTGCTCGTCTGATCTACTAATCAAAGCAAGATACGTTCCTGATTAACAGGGTGCCCTTAATGGGTTCATCAAAACAAACAGGCAGGTCTTGTATCCTTGGAAGCTTCTTACAGCAGAGAAAGAGAGGGATCCCTGAGCATCGGTCAGCTTACATATATGAAGTACATAAATATATATATATAAAACCATATATAAGGTGCAGCGCTATAATAGTAAATGGCATATATAACATATAAAATATATATATATACACTAAAGTGCAAATATCAAATCACACTGCGGTGAGGTTAAGTGAGATGAAAAAAGTCCCAAAATAAGTCAAACGTGGGGATCCAATAGATCCTAGTAGGTGCGTGGGATAAGATTCTGTGTAGCACACGGTGAATCTGAGGTAAAAATTGCGCACTCACCAGAAGTGGGCTCAGGACCCTTTGATAATGTGCACTGCATGAAACGCGTCAGTGGGGCTGCAGTATCTGGACGTCTGACCACCGCAGGTGGTCATCCTAACTATTATCTGAGTCCCCACTTGCAGAATCTACCTTAACAGGGGACCCCGGATGGTGACACGCCTGAGACACGCATATGAAATTTGAAGTACCGTATTTTTTCGCTCCATAAGACGCACTTTTTTCCCCCCAAAAAAAGGGGGGAAATGTCAGTGCGTCTTATGGAGCGAATATAAAGCGGCCAGTCCGGTATTCCTGCCGCCACCATGTCAGAATACCGGGCCGGCCGCTCAGCTGTTCTCTCCTGCAGGGCCTTACCTGTTCCTCGCTCCAGCGCTGCACAGTCTTCCCGCGCTGGCTTCTGTGACAGCCGGGTGCCCACTGCGCATGCGCTGCGCTTTGTGAATGGTGCGGTGTCTTCTGGGACACAACACAGGTCATCTCCTGTACTATGTCCGCAGTCTCTGGTCATCTCCTGTACTGTGTCCGCAGTCTCTGGTCATCTCCTGTACTGTGTCCGCAGTCTCTGGTCATCTCCTGTACTGTGTCCGCAGTCCCTGGTCATCTCCTGTACTGTGTCCGCAGTCTCTGATCATCTCCTGTACTATGTCCGCAGTCTCTGGTCATTCCCTGTACTATGTCCGCAGTCTCTGGTCATCTCCTGTACTGTGTCCGCAGTTTCTGGTCATCTCCTGTCCTGTGTTTGCAGTCTCTGGTCATCTCCTGTACTGTGTCCGCAGTCTCTGATCATCTCCTGTACTATGTCCGCAGTCTCTGGTCATCTCCTGTACTGTGTCCGCAGTTTCTGGTCATCTCCTGTACTGTGTCCGCAGTCTCTGGTTATCCCCTGTACTATGTCTGCAGTCCATTGGTTCAGAATATTTTTTTTTCTTGTTTTTCGCCTCTAAAACCTAGGTGCGTCTTATGGTCAGGTGCGTCTTATGGAGCGAAAAATACGGTATATACCCAAGGTGCGATTGGAAGGTGTAGGATTCTATCCCTATCTTGGCAACTGATGATCGCTATCTGATATCACAGGATAAACCTTACATGCATTTTTTTTGACGCACTTCTGGTGAGTGCGCAATTTTTACCTCAGATTCACCGTGTGCTACACAGAATCTTATCCCAAGCACCTACTAGGATCTATTGGATCCCCACGTTTGACTTATTTTGGGACTTTTTTCATCTCACTTAACCTCACCGCAGTGATTTGATATTTGCACTTTAGTGTTTATATATATTTTATATGTTATATATGCCATTTACTATTATAGCGCTGCACCTTATATATGGTTTTATATACATATATTTATGTACTTTATTGGAAGGTTCTCTCTTGGTTACCTTTTGGTGTTCTAGCCGCTTTGAGATTTCCGGATAGCGCTCGCATATTATCTTTTGCATTTACATATATGAAGGTCTGAGGGCAGCTGAGACTAAGAATAAAGTCTAGCTACCAAGTAAAATGTGGACACAGACATAGAGGCTTTATTCCACCAAAAGCTCTACAAAGCCTCCGTGCTCCAGGACCCAACAAAGATGTGCGAAAACAGGTTTGTTTTCGCCATATCAATCATCAACTTTGTAGCCCCTCACCATTTGGAGGCGAGAAAGCTAGGTGACACATACAGTATATCCTGTCCACAATCCTGCAAGACAGAGGCTTGCACCTCTAAATGACAAGCCGAAAAGTCAAACTCTAAGTAAGTAAAGATAAATTAGGGGCAAATAACTATTCTAAAAATTGTATCCTGTCTAGCAATTTCTCACCTCTAACGCATGATGCCTTGATGCATACCCAGCAGGTCTGACAATGCAATCTCCCCTCTCCTTACTTTGCTAAACTTTTCATTGTGTGTCTTGCCCAGCACTGCACAGCCACTTCTTCAAAATCTTCTTCTTTGTTAAAACATGATGTGATGTGTGGCATATAGTGGTGCCGTTCATTTAGAGTGGTACCCAATGCACAAACACAGTCGCTGGCAATGTACCCATGGTACAGCGAACCACAACATGTATGGGACAACTTTACAAAGCAAGTTTACACAACTTCAAGATGGTTCTGAGTCAGGGGCGGACTGACCATTCGAGCACTCGGGCACTGCCCCGAGGGCCCGGGGTCAGTAGGGGGCCCCATGAAATGCCCCTGGTACCTTTTTTATAGGCTTTTTTGAGTGTGGGCAAGGACACAGGGGCCCCATGATCCCCTATTGCCCGGGGCCCCATGATTTGTCAGTCCGCCCCTGTTCTGAGTAATAGAAGTAGGCTAGAAATAATTGAAATACAATGTGTGAATGAAAATATGATTTTACACACTTTGACCATTGGTACACTCTAGCTTTGTAATAAAATTTTAAAACCCCAAAAAATTAATTACACGGACAATGGTTACTCACACTTTTACATCAGCTCCGCACCGCAGTAAAAACTGTAAACATTCTTTTGCCCTCTTTCCGTTCTTCTGATTTAAGACCAGGTGCAGAGCTCTCCATTTGGACCGGCTGGGCAGGTTCACGTCCATCTTGTAATCCTCAATTAGAAGCTTCAGACACCGAAGCCGACCGTGCTGAGCGGCCATGTGTAAAGCTGTGAATCCCTGAGAGAGGAAATGAACTGTATCATAACATCATTTTTATAACACCCCCTATCCCTTTTAAAAGAAATATCCATCAGACAATGCTTGAAGTAACTTAACCACTTGCCCTCCAGAGGATTTACCCCCCCCCCCCCCCCCCCCTTCCTGACCAGGCCATTTTTTTGCGATACGGCACTGCGTTACTTTAACTGACAATTGCGTAGTCATGCAACGCTGCACCCAAATGAAATTTATGTCCTTTTTTCCCACAAATAGAGCTTTCTTTCGGTGATATTTGATCACCTCTGTGTTTTTTTTTTTTTTTTTTTGCGCTATAAACATATCCAGTAAAAAAAATTTAAAAATCAAATTTCATCACAAATTTAGGCCAAAATGTATTCAGCTACATTTCTTTGTTAAAAAAATTTTTTAAAAATCCCAATACATGTAAATTAATTGGTTTACATGAAAGTTATAGTGTCTACAAATGGCGGTATATATGCTGGAATTTTTTTTTTTTATACTAGTAATAGCAGCAATCAGCGACTTATTGTACTGGGGGACTGCGGTGGGCATTCTGACACTGGGGGGGGGGGGGGACTGACTAACTGCTACTGATATCCCCAGTGACACTAATACAGTTATCAGTGCTAATAAAAAGCACTGACACTGTGCTAATGGCACTGGGCAGGAAGGGGTTAACATCTGGGGCGATCAAAGGGTTAACTGTGTGTGTTTTACTATGTAAGAATTCTGCTTTGTATTGCTCTGCTATGCAGAGCAATACAAAGCAGCATGTGGGTGCTGACAGGGGAGAGATCTGTATTGTTTACATACAGCCCTCTTCCCTGTCAGTGTTCCTCCGTGATTGCCGAGTGCTGGTGGGGAATCTCCGTCCGGGACCCGGTGATCGACAGCTGTAGCCGCCAATGTTGGCGTGGGTAGGGTGGTGCACGTGTGTACTCCCTACCCGGAAATGCAAAATCACGTATATATACATATATATATATCTATACACACGTGATTTTGTGCAGACCTGCCGCCCTGTGGCAGTAGTTCTGCTATAGGGCATTCAGGAAGCGATTAAAGAGAAACTATATGAGTTTTGATCAGTTTTATTTGAAGGGACGCTGCTATGAGCTGGAGGGTCCCTAGTGTAAATTTAGTGATGGCAGCTAGGCTGTACCCAGCCTGAGCTCTACGTATGTTATCTGGATTCCTTGGGGTTCCCCTAAGCTTTTTTTCTGCCTGCTACTGTTGAGTGTAATCCAATAGGTAGAAAGAGAAGATGCAGTGGTGTTGATTTTCTAAAGCTGGAGAGCACAAAATCTGGTTTGCAAGCTCTGCGTAGAAACCAATTAGCTTCTAACTTCAGATGTTCAATTAAGCTTTGACAAAAAAAGCTGCAAGCTGATTGGTTCCTATGCAGAGCTGCACAAGATTTTGCAGTTTTGGTAAATCAGCTCCAATGTGTCAAGATATGAATATTAATTTCACCCTGCCCAATCAAAGAAGGGTCTATGCCAGTGATGTGGGTTAGGGAAGGAAATATTTTGAGTGACCTTCTAGAGGCGTCTTTTCCCTCCCAGGCTTTGCCTTGTAGAGTTGTACTGTTTATTTATTTCAGGTACTTATATAGCACTGTCAATTAATACAGCTCTTTACATATATATTGTACATTCACATCGGTCCCTAACCCTCAAGGGGTGTACAATCTAAGGTAGTACTGAAAGAAAGTCCCTGGCCTCCCAGATCTGTTGCCCGGGGAAGTTGTTAGTCCAGACGGCCTTGCTTCCCAGGTCTGCTCCCTGAGGGAGAATATAGCTCTAGAGAGGTCTGCTTCATGCTCCTCAGGCCTGATGCCTGGAGAGGATATAGTTCTAGAGGTCAAATTCATGCTCTTCAGGTACAGTGGGGCAAAAAAGTATTTAGTCAGCCACCAATTGTGCAAGTTCTCCCACTTAAAAAGATGATAGAGGCCTGTCATTGGCATCATAGGTAGACCTCAACTATGAGAGACAAAATGAGAAAAAAAATCCAGACAATCACATTGGCTGATTTGGAAAGAATTTATTTGCAAATTATGGTGGAAAATAAGTATTTGGTCAATATCAAAAGTTCATCTCAATATTTTGTTATATATCCTTTGTTGGCAATGACAGAGGCCAAACGTTTCCTGTAAGTCTTCACAAGGTTGGCACACACTGTTGCTGGTATGTTGGCCCATTCTTCCATGCAGATCTCCTCTAGAGCAGTGATGTTTTTGGGCTGTCGCTGGGCAACACGGACTTTCAACTCCCTCCAAAGGTTTTCTATGGGGTTGAGATCTGGAGACTGGCTTGGCCACTCCAGGACCTTGAAATGCTTCTTATGAAGCCACCCCTTCGTTGCCCGGGCAGTATGTTTGGGATCATTGTCATGTTGGAAGACCCAGCCACGTTTCATCTTCAATGCCCTTGCTGATGGAAGGAGGTTTGCACTCAAAATCTCACGATACATGGCCCCATTCATTCTGTCCTGTACATGGATCAGTCGTCCTGGTCCCTTTGCGGAGAAACAGCCCCAAAGCATGATGTTGCCACCCCCATGCTTCACAGTAGGTATGGTGTTCTTTGGATGCAACTCAGCATTCTCTCTCCTCCAAACACGACAAGTTCTGTTTCTACCAAACAGTTCTATTTTGGTTTCATCTGACCATATGACATTCTCCCATTCCTCTTCTGGATCATCCAAATGCTCTCTAGCAAACTTCAGATGGGCCCGGACATGTACTGGCTTAAGCAGGGGAACACGTCTGGCACTGCAGGATCTGAGTCCCTGGCGGCGTAGTGTGTTACTGTTGGTAGCCTTTGTTACGTTGGTCCCAGCTCTCTGCAGGTCATTCACTAGGTCCCCCCCCGTGTGGTGCTGGGATTTTTGCTCACCGTTCTTGTGATCATTTTGACCCCACGGGGTGAGATCTTATGTGGAGCCCCAGATCGAGGGAGATTATCAGTGGTCTTGTATGTCTTCCATTTTCTAATTATTGCTCCCACAGTTGATTTGTTCACACCAAGCTGCTTGACTATTGCAGATTCAGTCTTCCCAGCCTGGTGCAGGTCTACAACTTTGTTTCTGGTGTCCTTCGACAGCTCTTTGGTCTTCACCACAGTGGAGTTTGGACTGTGACTGTTTGAGGTTGTGGACAGGTGTCTTTTATACTGATAACAAGTTCAAACAGGTGCCATTGATACAGGTAATGAGTGCAGGACAGAGGAGCCTCTTAAAGAAGAAGGTACAGGTGTGTGA